CTGCGGTTGCAAATTCGCCTGCCAAGTATGGCAACTACTGGCAAAACCCCCCAAGGGGATGGTTTATGTTCAACAGTGGAGAGTTAAAGGCTGATATGACGATTAATGGTGAATTTAAGAATATGGCTGAATATAACTCCTTCCTTAACTTATTTCTGGATAGTAACAAAAAATACTTTGATATCACATGTCGCGTACTCCTGTCAGTAAGCATCGGCCCTATATAATACATAACAGTAACCGTATTGGTTAAGTTTTTGTTTATGTCTGGTTAGTTCCATACACATTGTATTAAATATTTCAAGTTTCCATTTATGTTATGATTTGTACTTAAGTATCTAGAAGAGTTGCAATCGGTCTCGGCATATTTAATTTTTTTTTAATTTATTTACAAAATATTGGTGATTGCCAGTAGCAGATCTTAATTTTTTTTTATACAACTTTGAATGGCAAATAAGCTGACGGCCCACCTGATGGAAAGTGGTAACCGTGGACTATAGACATGAGTAGTACCATGAACATAACAGAGTATACTATTTCGCCAATGATACCCCCCATGCGTTGCCATTCCTGAGGACTCAGATGTTATTCCTCCGTACCCAGTAAATTCACGCCATATCACGCCCATCCTTCAAACCGACAGCCATGCAAACACAGCTGCTTCACGGTTGAAACACGAATAGGACAGAGGTACGCAAGCAATCGACTTTTGTACAAAGTCTCCCTCTGGTATATTAGATTACTTACTTTCAACATATTCGAAAATAGATCAGAGAGATCTGACCGACATGTGCAATATTGAAATGGATGATGACCTTTTTTCCGAGACCAATATCCAAAGAAATCCAATACATAGATATCAAATCGGTACCCATATTACCTACGCCTCGAGCCCAAACAGATGACTTTTGTACAAAGTCACCCTCTGGTTGTTACACTTTTTTTTTACTCAATGCTCCATCTATCTATATATGATCTATATTATTGGTTTACGCTACCAACATAACATTCGGAGGGGGAAAGGGATTGTTAGTAATGGAGATTGAGAAACCCATTGCTAGCAATATACCCAACCAGGTCCACCTCCTCGCGGTTCTCCCTGGAAACTATCATGGTTAATTCCTGATGAATTCATCATGATGGGCTAACTGGCCTGTTTTCATTCTCATCTATCACCCTTCACTGGTGCTCCGCCAGCGTATCCCGTTAGCGCAGGCGGGGTTACCATACCATTTTCACCCATCAAAAAAAAAACATAACATTCGGTCCGTTATAGCATATATATATTATACTACTTACTTGGGAGTAGGTGACAGCCGTCTAGATATATTTTAGACTCCAATAACATGAATGGGCTTTTATATAATGAACATATTGCTTGAATTAGAGTTACCTTTTGTGTAGTGAGAGAATACAGCATTGTGAACAATTTTTATTAGTGTATTTTTAGACTATTTCTAATAACATTATAAATATGAAAAATGTTTTTTTGTTTGTTACCTCTTAAGGCCTTAATGGCTTAACCACCGATCACTATGAAATTTAGTACATATACAGTACGTGTATATAAAATACATTGTTTTTTTTAATGAGTGAAAATGGAATGGTAACCCCGCCTGCACTATCGGTATACACTGAGAGGTACCAGTGATAGATGATAGGTGAGAATGAAGGCAGATCAGTCGACCCATCGTGAAAAATTCGACAAGAATTAACAACGATGGTTTCTAGGGGGAACCGCGTGGAGATCGACCTGATAGGGTATATTACCAGCAATGAAACTGTTAGAACTCATTACTAACAATCCCTTTCACCCCTGGTCGTGTGGTTCCGACATAGAATAGGCCAACGATTCCTTTCCAGTGGTCGTCGTAAGAGGCGACTAAGAGAATTGAATTATCAAGGGATGGACAGCAGTGTCTCTTTTATAACATCACCAAAGCCTAACTGCGATTGCCAACCCGTGTGCCAAGCGTGGCAACTATTGGCAAAACTTTCCAATAAAGGAAGGCCTGTGTTCAGCAGTGGACAGTTGACGACTGATATGATGATGATATATGGCAGGAATGGCAACACATGGGGGTATCATGGGCGAAACAGTATACTCTGTTATGTCCATGATACTGCTCATGTCTATAGGCGACGGTTACCACTTTCCATCAGGTGGGCCGTCAGCTTGTTTGCCATTCTAAGTTGTATAAAAAAAATATATATACAAAATTTCATAGTAACAATATGGGATATAGAAAGACAGCATTACTTTTTATCTTGGTCAGTAGGTATATCCTGCTCACAGGGACGAAGTTGCAGGTAAAAGCTAGTATTTAATATTTGTAAAGGTTTAAAGAAAAATGTATGCAAATTTTTGTAGCAATTATTAAAATAAAATATATTAATAATAAATACCACTGCATATGCTACATAGTTTAGTGACGCCATCTAGTTTATAATATTCGAATGCCCAAATAGGACCTTGTTGTGGCATGTCTCGAAGCCTAAAACACAGACACAGCTGGCTCTTGTAGCCAGAATTAAATCACTCAAAAGTCCTGATTAAGGGGTTTTCAGATAATTACTCTAAGAAATTAATTATTTTGAGCAAAAATAATATATGTGTATTAACAAGAGCTCTCACAGAACAATGAAAACTAAACAACCACTTGGCCCAACTAGGCTTATGCCCAAAAAGTGTTTGCAGATTTTGTCACAACGAGGAAAACACGCCGCAGCACTTAATTTGTGACTGTAGCCCACTCATACATAAACGATATATCTCCTATGAAAAATATACTTTATATCCTGAGAAGATAAAAAAACATCGCCACGAAAAAAAAAAACATCTTAAAATACCTCTCACTGATAGGGATTAACAGAAAACTTTAAAAATGAGGCAAGCACAAAAGATTTTGGAAGGGTCGTAGTGTCACAGATTTTTCTGTCTGAAAAAAACCCCGTCTCTCAATAATAATAACGATAAATATAGTTCCTAAATTAACAATGTACTATAGATACTGGTCTAGTGACAGATATATAAAAAATATGTATTTTTTATATACAGCTTCGTAAGCATATCAATCGTTAACTGTCCACTGCTAAACTTTGGCCTACCGAGGGGAAAGGTATTCTTAGCAATGGAGTTTGACAGCCCCATTGCTAGCAATATGCCCTATTAGGACGACCTCCACGTAGTTCCCCCTGGAAACCATCGTGAACAATTCTTGTTGAATTTGTTACGACGGCCCACCTGATGGAAAGTAGTAACCGTCGCATATAGACATGAACAGTACCATAGACATAACAGCGTATACTGTTTCGCCCATGATACCGTTTTCGTTGCCGAGTTATCTATAGTTATATACATGCAATCCCAAAAAGACAAATTCGAGCAAAGGCTTCAAACTTTATAAAATATTTCTAAAATAAGTGCCAACCTTATCCGCGAACGGAAAAGGGTCTATAAATTACAAAGTACTGATTAATTGCCCAGATATTGTTACGAGGACGATCCATTCATGAAACGTCAAGAAGTGGCACATCGGGAATTGTAACTTGAAAACTGACCTCGCTTGCTTGCAACTGGGATATAGCTTTGTCTTACAAACAACTAGCTATATTTTACGGCTTCGCCTATAGTCACACCATAATGTTAAATGCCAATGACCATACTTAAAAGTTAAGCTATTAAATCCAAAAAGAATTTTTCAAGTCCAAGTGGTAGTTTCAGAGATTATCGCATTCAAACAAATAAAGTCTTCTGCTTTATTATATTAATATATTCATATACTAACTGCTTCCTGCAGAAACCTTCCTGTACAAAGGCGAACTTAACTCTACAAGAGTTTTCTTCCAGCAATACCCAAAATGGACAGGAGCATCAATGTCAGCGGGTAAAGGTGACCTTTATGTTTGCACAGTCGGGGAACTTTTTGGTCGTAGATATTCTAAAGGCGATAAATCGTCTAGTCTGTCCAAACTTTTATGTTTGACAAAACCTTTTTATCTACACCTCGAGTCGCTTGTGGGGCAGGCAGAGAGGACTATGTCTATAGGTGAGGGTTAACGCTTTCCATCAGGCGGGCCGTCAGCGTCTTTGCTATTTTAAATTGCATAAAAACCACTTTATGTTTTGGCCTTTATCCTTATATATTTTTTATACCACTAAGGTGACAAATAAACATACGGCCCACCTGGTGGTAAGCGATTACCGTAGCCTATGAACGCCTGCAATACGCGCGCGTTGCCGACCCTGAGGAAACCTTGTTTAAATTTTTGCCGTTGGCCAATAGTTGTTGAAATGGCCTTTTTCGTAGTCTTTTTTTCTCCTATACTCTCGGGTCCTTCAAACATAACTTGAAAAAGTACTAAGTAAGCTGACATAGTGGGGCTAACAGCTAGATAGAAAGAAAGAGAGAATGAGAGAGAAAGAGACTGAGGGAAAGAATGAGAGTATATGTGTGAGAGAAAGTGAGTGTGTGTGTGTATGTGTGTGAGAGAAAGAGAGAATGAGAGACATTGAGCAGAACAGTCTGTTTTCATATGATCGTATTTATAGAACATGTCGTCTCCCTACAGCAGAATCTTCGCCACGAGCCCCCGCAGATACACCCGCACACCGCACACAGCATCCCCGCCGGCGGTGACGAAGACCCACCGCGACACACAGTCCGCGCGCGATCATGTTTGCGCCCGAGCGCATCCCTACGACCCCGAGTCCACATCCATCGCGACGTCGTCCCCGTCACCCCTTCGTCGTCCCTCGACGGGGGGCGAAGTGCGGTGGCCTAAGCCGAGGTCCGAGCCACTCTGGCGGCCTTGGGCATACGCCGCAGTCCATCAGAAAGAGCTGACGCCTACCGTCGCTCCCCTCTTGCGGGCTTGGAGTACCGTCTGCACTGGCCCCTGCACACGCGTTCGGTGAAGCTGTAAAGGCCAACTGCGGCCAACAGCTAGAAAAAAAACTGTGCTTGCTCAGCATGGTGTGGTCACATGTCGTGCAATTAGAGATGGGCAATCCACCTGGGTGGGTTTAAAGTCTGGTGGGTAAAAACCGGGTGTTTTGGGTTTATTGGGTTTAAACCCCATAAACACCCAAATTTTTGGGTGTTTATGATTTTGTACTTCATCATCGTCATCTCAGCCGCAAGACGTCCACTATACTGGACATAGACAATATTATTATGCAGCCTACAGAATAAAAAACTTTTAATTTGATTTTGAGTTTATTAAGAAAGAGATGAAAGTAAAATGTAAAACTACAGTCAATCACTGTCAGATTCAGAGTTATTACAAGCGATGAATTGTATAGGTTCGATAGGCTCTATTTCGTCTAAACTGTTATGTTCATTTACTTGCTCAATGAAAGCTTCTAAGGTATTTTCTTCATTAAACTGAATGTCCTCGCATTCAGCTTTATGTTTAAGATTCCAGTTATAACAAATGAATGAAATTTTTTCAGTTCTTTCAGTTGTAAGTCGATTTCTTTTGTTATTATGTATGTAGCCTTGGATACTAAAGGAACGCTCAGTGGCTGCCGAAGTACAGGGAGCTGATAGAATACGAATCGCTACTTTGCTTAACTCAGTGGAACCACAAATACCTTTCCACCATATTAGGGGCTCAATGCTATCTAATGAGCTCCATACAAATCCTCTGGCCCAAAAGTTTTCTTTAGCTTTATAACACGCCAAATCTGCCATTACATTTGACAAACTTAAGTGTTGGCTTAAATTGTAGATAAACTCCATACCCTTAAGTTCTTCCTCTTGAGTAAGTTCGACTCCTAGAGTCCTGGGGTCTAGAATATATGCTGCAAAATGTATTGGCCTCATTGCCATATTGCATCTTGAAGATACTGATGTTATAATCTGCTGTTTGCTTTCTTCGCTCAATGTCGAAATCTCATTTAATGCAAAACGTATCTTAGCTTGTACATCTCTAAATGTAATGTATGTGCGATGCAAACGATTCTGGTCGCTCTCTAAGTAAAATATGCTTTCAGTGACTGGTTCCAAAATACTTATACATTCCCCTGTCTTCGTCCAGAAATCATCACTTAGAATTAAATCTTTAATATCTCTTGAAATTACCACATCTTCTCTAACTGTTAATATTTGCAAAGCTATCTTATTTGCTTTCAAACTTTTTAACGAAGTAACATGACTTCCCCATCTTGTAGCACAAGGCAATTTTAGTGTTTGTGTAGAATCTTCACCCTGTCTTGATTTTATCAACAAGGAACTTAATCGTTGACTCCTTTTAACAGTTTTTATTATATTTATGGCTTGCATAATAAACACAGTTACTTCTTGTATCTTTACAATATCTTGGCACAACAAGTTAAGGATATGTGCACAGCAACCGAGAGGAACAACATGTGGATATTTGAGTTTTGTTAATTCGAATGCCTTTTGTATATTTCTAGCGTTATCGCCAATAAGTACAAGAAACTTATTTGCTCCATACACTTTCATTACTTTTTCAACTTCTTGGCTAAGGTATTCACTAGTGTGAGGATTACTTTCTGTATTCAAACTTTTAACGTATGCAGGTTGAGGTTTTGATATAAGAAAGTTTATTATTCCTTCATTTCTTAAATTAGACCAGCCATCGCACTGAAGGTGTAAGTAACTACAAGCATTTAGTTCCTCATTTAACTCAAAACGCATTTCTCTATATATTTTATCTAAGTATTTTGTCGCTAAAGCTTTACGTGAAGGTATTTTAAATTTTGGTTGCAATTTTTCGAAAAATTGTATCCATAAAGGATGTTGCACCATCGATAATGGCGTCCCTGTTACAAATATAGCTCTCGCTAATTCTGTTTTTATATGATCATCGGTGTCTTGAAACTCAGCATTTATTGTAGTGTTAGCAGACGACGAGGGGCTTATAAAAGAATCATTTGTCTCTATCTCTGACAGTCCAGACATTTTGGTTTTGGACGAGCTATCTTTTATAAGTTTCATAGAGTCTTTTAATGTTTCTGGAGATTTTGGACAAGTGATAAGATGTTGAAGCATTTTGGCAGCATTACTGAATTTGTAGACCTTATTACAAAGCTTGCAAGAAACAGACTTGTTTGGTAAAGTACGGTAGTGCTCCCATATGCGTAAATCTTTAGGTCTCCCCATTGAACCTAAAAAAATGAACGATGATTAGTTGGTCTGACGAAAATTCAACAATAGAGTGCCTATTTTTTTACAATGATTATTTCTTGTTATTTACAATAAATTTATTAAAAAAATAATAAAATAAATACAAAAAACCTTTGTAAAATTACATCTCCTCGGAGGATTAAACGCAGACGCTAGTTTATTATCGTATTGTTCTGTATTTTTCTCAGCAACTTCTTTAATTCGATTAGGTACTTACGCATATTATGTTAAAAATAAATATCTAGTACACATCTTAGGCTATCCACCATTATTATCCAATGACGACTCTCAGCTAACTATGCACTATCATCCAAAATAAACGTGTATAGAAAATTTTATCCCAGTCGGTTGAGGATTGAGGATAATTGCATCAACATACGAACATACCTACATACTTTTATTTACATAACGCAAGCTAAATAAAAGCTTGTAATAATACATCTAATTTTAAGTTAAAATTGTTAAGTGATCATGATATAATTGTATCATTCAAAAATCCACTTACCTTTAATTATTTCTTGTTAAGTATAAATATTATTTCAAATCTGCTCCCTTAATATGCACTTTTTTACTGCTTTTCCTACCTAACACGTTACCAGGAAGTCACGTTACCAGAGTCAGAGTAATAGTGAACACGTTTGACAGTGATTGTCGTCGCCTCATATTCAGCGTCGACGAATAGGGGAATCCCCAGTCATAATGTATTGCATGCGTGGCGGTCTTACTTCAAATCCATAAACAAAGAGATAATTACAGAACTCGATACTAGATGGCGCTGTTTTTGTTTGAAGAAAGTTTGCGGGCTAAAATACATAGAATTTCATCAATGACTTCCACAAAGAACAACATTTCTGTTTTTTCTAAGTCCGTATCTCTTCCGTATATTTCATAAGATATAAGCTTGGGCTACATTGTTATGCAACGTGATTTTGTCGCTGTCTTGCTAGCAGGGTTGACAGATATACGATTTAAATCGTACTCATACTATTATTTGTCTATTTTTTAATGTACGATCGTAAAGATTATGATCGTAATTCGCACAAAAACATACGACTTTTTGGTTACCTGGCAACATTTTTATTATGAAACGAACATGCTCACATCATCAGTCACATGCAACAATTTATTGGGGATTTCCCCTTCACATCTGGCAGTCCTGCTTGCTAGAATATAGGTAAGTCAGCCACAGTTACTGACGATCGATATTTAAAGGGTATATATTTCATAAAAATATATTATTAATTTATGATAATATATAAAATGGATATTTGAGAGATATATAAAACAGTTAATAAAAGAAAATATATACTCTTTTTATATAGGTAGGTAATATAATAAACACAAAATACTTAGATCGCGTGTGTTCGAAGCATTTATTCTAATAAATTTAATTTAAAATTGTAGAAAGAAAAAAATGTCTGCCAAGCCGTAGCCGAAGCCGATCTCCAAATATATTTGGCGATAGTGAGACCCAGTGTCCAGATGATTTACCCAGCGTCGTCGCAACAAAGAAAAAAACGAGGATAAAGTAAAAGAAAATTTACTGAAAGAAGAAACAAACTGTTCTAAATGCTTAATTTATGGAGAAGAGGATAAAAGAAATGAGTATTTCGGACTGTTAGTGGCTCAAGAATTTAAATATATACGGCCATGTGTGCGAACGAGGTGTTATGAAGAAATTTTAAAGTATCTACGGGAAGCAAAAGGCCAACATGTTGATCAACTGCAACATGAAAACACTGAAAATTAATTACTTTCATTTTATTATATATAGATTTTTAAAATTTCCTGAAATATTATTAGTTAACGTTTTATTTAATATTGTAGAATTGATCAATACAATTTATAAAAATAATTTATTGGTATTACTTACATATTTTCAAAAAAATACGTAAAAACCTATTTTTTTGGGTGATTATGGGAGTTTATGGGTGTTTATTGGGTTTTTACCAAAGCACCGGGTTTAAACCCGGTGCTTTGCCCATCTGTACGTGCAATAATAAAAAAAAAGGCAGCTTTGCTGTATATTATGTTTCACCCCCTAATTACGTATCTCGTAAACAATTCGTAATAGTCTAAAATAACATGTTATTTGCTATTAATCTTCTTTAGTATGTTTTATATTGCCGAAAAGTGATTTTCGGGCGAATTTCGGTGCAGCCGGAACAGAGGCAGGAAATTAAATTGCAAATTATGAATTAGTAGTTGTTTCCCGCGGTATTGTTCGTGTAAACGAATACATAAAGTACATATTAATTGTATTGATCAGTTATCAAAGCTTAAGTTTACATAAACATTATTTATATTGTTTTTTTTTTGTTGGCCGTGTAATCCCGGCATAGAATAGGCCACCCCTTCCTATCCTGTAGGTGCGTAACCAACTAAGGGATGCCGTGGGAAGGGTAGTAGCGTTCCTCTGAGATGTTTAATCTCTAAAGCTTGACTGCGGTTGCCAATCCACCTGTCAAGTGTGGCATATATATATATATTTTTTTTTTTTTGTATGTAAATTATATATTGACTGCGAGAAAATGCTTTTAGCATTAAATCCGCCATGTATACATACGGTTACGTTGAATGTCCCGCCAGTAAGAACTAACCTACTTCAGCACGCTCCCTTAACTCACGTAGTACGGTTATTAAATAATATTATAAACATCATTGATATATTTAGTAGCAGCCTGCCAAAGATATTGGAAGCGGCTCACAAATATCTAGAGTCGGGTTAAATACATATATATATATATATATATATATATATATATATATATATATATATATATATATATATAAATTAATGCCACTTGTGGTTGTAATTTTATAACTCAAGAACGGGCTCACCTATCCAAACCAAATGTTTAGGCTTTGTTCGGACTATTTAGTAGCTGGTTTATGTGAAGTTTGCACAACATCGGTCGAGCGGTTCTTCATTTATCACATTTTTTGTAACAAATGAATTCAATAAATGGCGGATCATTTTGTTAATGAGGATTTTAAATTGTTTTTTTTTTATTATTATTTTACTTTATACGTAGCGAAGTACGTACCGTGCCGCTATTTTATTATAATTTTGTGTGTTAGCACACTAGATTTATAACATTGATTTGGCTTTTGCTGTTATAATGTTATAATTATTTTTAATAAATAAATAAATGTACTAATAAGTACATAAATAAAGGTGATTCACTGTGACAAACGCATGTACTAGCAACTCACAAAGCCAGTTCATTAGAAGCTCGAATACGTCATAATAACCGCACTATGGCGTATCATGTCAAGGTCTGACGTCACAGGTGCGTTTAATCTGCGGGCTGATTGACCTCTCCAAACTTAGGATGGAATTTATAAGCGAATAGCGATAAAGAATTGCATTTATCTAGACAGTATAATCCGTTTCGATAGAATATAATAAAAATGTAAATACGTAATGTTGGTCGTGTGGGCTCAGCATAGAAGAAGCTACCTTTTTCTTTCTCGTGGGCATCGTAAGAAGCGACTAAGGGAGGGCGAGGGACGGGCAGCAGCGTCCCTCTTAAAACATCTCTAAAGCCTGACTGCGGTTGCTTACCCGCCTGTCAAGCGTGGAAACTACTGGCAAAACTCCCCTAGGGAGAGACTTCTGTTTTTTTTTATGAATGATAGTGGTATGGTAACCACGCCTGCGCTGTCGGTATACATACACTGGCGGGGTACCAGTGAGGGATGATAAGTGAGAATGAAACAGATCTGTAAGTTCATTGCAACAAATTCGACAAGAATTGATAACGATGGTTTCCAGGGGGAATCGCGTGGAGGTCGTCCTGATAGATTAGCAATAGGACTGTTAGACCCCTGACTACTAACAACCTCTTCTCCCCCTAGACTTATGTTTAGCAGTAGATAGTTAAAATCTGATATGATAATGAAATTATAAATTATTTATTAATATATTTATTTTTTAATCAAAAATTAAAATAATTATAAAAAATTAAATATACAAAAGTCATTAGCACTAGTATAATAAAATAGTTAAAATACTATAGAGTTATTATTCTGTCGCAGAATACGAGTATTATTAATTACAACAGATGGCGTGACTTGTCCTGTGTTTCATTTATGTTAGGGTTGTCAACCGTTCGTATCCAAGGACATGTTCTGATTATTGAAGCAGGTATTCTAGGGTGTCTTGGATAATTATTAACAGCGTCCTGAGTTTATAAAGCGCCCTGACAAAGTCGTGTATTTTAAAATTCTCACAGACTTTATAATTTTCGAATATTTTTTCTAAACATTTTAAATACCTTAATGACCTTAGTCACTTGGAAAATGGGGAAGTGCTTGGTGAGGGATGCGACGTGTGTAGACACATTAGCTCCAAGCCCTTTATCTAGATCGTCCTCTTGTTCGAGTGCAGCGGCAGTGACAGCGGAAACAGTAAGGCGTAAATACTCACATCTGGAGGGGTCTTATTGTTTTCTGTCATTTGTTGTACTGACGATGGGCCAGTGGGATCCAGATGCAAAGATTTTTTATTGGACGATCACAGCGTGCCTCATATAGGTTACTGGTTACCCGAGAGCTAGTAGCTACTTTACCCGAAAGATAAGTTTGCCAATCCAAAGAGGTAATGCTGCCAGTATCTTGGGTACGTTGCCTCGGTGTGGTGCGTTGGGAGATTACTTATAATTAGTATTTAAGAAATTGTATATTAACTTTAATTTATTGATGTACTGTAATTGTTAATAAACTCTACTAGTGAATAAAAATACTTTTATTACAAAATTATTATTACTCGAATTTCATTTCACCTATTTTCAGTACAAATTATTTAATTATTGCTACACAATTTTTGAGTCCGTCCTCTTTTTAAACTGTCTCTGCTTTTCAGACTTCAAATCCTTGTTTTTTGCAAATTTGGAGTTGACAACCCTAATTTATGTATTTGTGTCGTGTGCATATTAAAAGAAAGAAAGAAAGAAAGAAAACATTTATTGACAACAACAAAAAGTTACATACATTATGAATTAAAAAAAAAAAAACTTTACATTTATTATTGCCAACATGGTCACCACTCAGCATGTGCTGCAGCAATTTAATTGCTACAGCGCTGATATTCTGTGGTGCCCATACGTGACATTACGAACGACGACAGCAAACATACGCATATATATATATATATATATATATATATATATATACACACATACACACACATATATATATACATATATATATATACATATACACGCATACACATATACATACACACACATACATACACACATACATACATACACATACACACACACACACTTACATATACATACATACATACACCTAACCGACAAGATATACCCATATAGATATGTACAACAATAATACAATAACAATACAACAACACTATATTATACAACGAAGCAGCAATGTTATGCAATCACAAGGAGTTACATGCTTTTTGTAGATTTAAATAATAGTTTTTAGCATATTTTTTAAAAGTATAAGTTGTTTTTAAATTTCGTATGGGAGGCGGGAGGTCATTCCAGATCTTGGAAGCTGCATATTTGAACCCTCTCTGAAAACTTGCAGTTCTATGTCGTGGTACCTTTAAACGTATAGAAGCTACTCTTAAATTATATATACTATGCTCTTGCGCCCACGATAATTTATCGTAAAGGTATTGAGGTTTACCTGTATTTATTATATTAAACACTAAACATGCAAGATGCAACTTCCTACGTGAAAACATTTTCATGATACCGGCATTGTTTAAGAAAGGAGTAACGTGATGGCGCGGAGGAATGTGATAGCAAAACCGGGCACATGCATTTTGCACTCTTTGGATCAATCGTTCAGTTCTAGACAACAAGCAGGGGCCATACACTACATCACCATAGTTTAATTTGGATAAGACAAGAGCCTCACACAACTTTTCCCTAGTAGACACAGTTAGATATTTCCGAAATCGATATAGCAACTTAAGACGATAGAAACAGACTTTCACCGTTTGCATAATATATGTTTCAAAACGAAGATGAGGATCAATGACTAATCCTAAATTACGTGCTTCTTTTAATTGATCAATAGGTTTATTATTGATTTTAATACATGGTTTATGTCTTTCTATATCAGCTATCAACTTTTTTGTCCCAACAACCACAAACTTACATTTATTAGGATTAAGCATCAAACAATTTTTATCCGACCAACTGGAGATACGAT